TTCAGATCTTGAAAATGTCATCTGAAATGATTCTGTGCGACATAAATGCACCAATAGCTACTGTAGCTGGATGTGAAGAATGGCTGGTTCTTAAATTCTGTTTTGTGGTTGTTAGTTAAATAAAAAGATCAGAAACTCAGGGGGCTGAAATGGCAGTTGTTTGGGTGAGATAAGGCTGGAGCCTTAAGGAAGTGTGAATTTGAAGAAGGGAACAAGGATTTGGACAAGATGAGAATTACAGAGGATCAGCACTCCAAGGAGCAGGGACTGGGACTGGGTGGGTGGCTGAGGAAAATTGGGTTGTGGTGAGGAGTTAGTGCAAGGGCGGGTCCAATTTGGGCAGAAGTACCGGTCCACCAGGACATAGCTTTCTCAGTTTGAGATTGGACTGGGCATTTTATAGTTGCTGCGTTCTGTGGCTGGCATCAGATATTTAAAGTCTGTCCCAGAAATTCCCAATCTTATGTATTTGCAGAGGGTAACCCAATTTTTAATCACTTAAATCATGCAGCAAGTTGAGGTGTCTGGATATTTGATGGTTCTAGCCATGTTGCTGTTTTGTGTTGATGTCAGTATATTATCATCTATTGGAACTTGTCTTTTTGGCTTTTTTCTGTTTCTTAATATTAAAAAACAAAAATAACTAGAAAATTATTCATATTGACTTTATTATCTGGAATATCAAGTATGGAAAAATAAGTTATGCCAACCTAGGTTTATTTATTCCTGTAGAATATTAGAGTTTTAACTGTGTTTAACCACAAAAATATACGTGTCATGCAACATAGAAATTTGATAGCACTCATTTAAACGTCACTTTTTCTTTGAGTATGTGATCCTGCACAACATTTATTGTTTGTGTTCATTAGTCAAACCCTGATTAACTTAGAAATTCAGTGTTTTATTATTTTGCAACCATGAGTACGTGTGCTTCACAGTTTTTCTGACTGTTTAGACGAGTTGGCATTTGCTTCATTTTAAAAACAAGACACAATGCATGTAAGGTAAAGGATTCAAAGTAATTCTTTGTGTTCTGTGGGATGTCAGGTCTAATCTTTTCAGAAATACTGTAAGTAATGTTTTGAAATATGAAGTGCAGCTCCTCTTGGCGCCAGTTGTTTGAGGCACTGTAGGTAGTCAGAACAATTTGAGGTCCAGCAGCCTACACCTGGGCATCCAGACTACAAAGCACTTGTTCTTTCCATGCTAAGGATAGTTCTAGCATTACATGGTATCTCAGTGAACAAGTATAGCAGAGATACAGACCTCCAGGCTAGTACCTGCCTCCTTCAACTATGAGGTTACTTTTCTTTTCCTGTGATCTCTGGTTTACTTCTTAAATCTTTCTTACAGAAGAGATCAGGCCATGAACTCGTGCTGAAGTCCAGACTGTAACCAAGGTTTTCTGAGAGCAGTTTGGATGCTACTTGTCATTGTGGAGTTCAGTTTGTGTAATTCCACTATATTTTTTTTTTGTACTACATAATGAAACTTTTCTTAAATAAAGCTGATATTGAATGTTCTCAAAGTCATTTTTTTTTTTTGAAAGCTGCTGCTACTTTTGCAAACCAGAGCAATATTTGGCACAAGTGTAGCAATTGTTAATTCAGAATGAGAATGGACTTCTGATAGAGGGCTTTTTGCTCTACTCACTGTGTGTATTTCAGCATACAACTTATTTGTAGTACTAAGGCTTTTGATGTAGTAAGCTTGTGTGGCTCAGCATACATTTTTTGTTGTTTCTCAGTGCTAGAATGTCACAATAGCTGTGTGAAGAGATCTGAGGAACTTTTTACCTGCAGTCTCCTCTAAAACACTCCGAGAAAAAAGGCTTTCTTTCATCATATGTATATTATTGTTTTCATACTGTATTTCTAAATATAAATTGCTTTTCTGGATTTGACTTAACTACTCATTCCTGCTTTTTGGAAATACCTTGCTGCTTGGCTGTCTCATGAGTGTTATATTCTAGTTATTCAAATAATTGCATATATTGTCCTTTGTGGGCACAATTGTGCTAAGTTACTTGGTAGTAGTGCACTCCACGGAAATTTAATGTTGAAATGTACTTTTTAAGCAGCTAATTTAGCTTAAACTACTAAGTGCTATTCGAGTTTTAATAATTTAGACATACTGTTTCACTGTGTGGCCAATGGTTAGCTATCACTAGTTTTGAATGTGTCTATACATAAACATTTTTACTTGTGGAAGTGATATAAGAACATTTGTAGAAGGGGTACCATACTGAAAACATGAAAAAAGAATAGAGTATTTTGTGCCCTGCTGATTCACACTGACATGTAAAGGTTAGAATAAGTGTACTGGGTCTGGCTAGGATGGAGTTAATTTTTTTCATATCAGTCCCTATGGTTCTTCGTTTCAGATTTGTGACCAGGACAGTGCTGGTAAGGCACCAATGTCAGCTGTAACTGAACAGTGCTTGCACAGCATCATGGCCTTCTCTGTTTCACACTCTGCTTCCCCCAGGGAGCAGGCTGGGGTTGGGAAAGAGTGTGAGAGGGGACACAGGCAAGACAGCTCACCCCACATATGCTTGGCATTAACATTGGTGGTGCTCGTGGGGATATTCCTAGGTAATGGTTGCTCAGAGCCTGGCTGGGCATCTGTCTGCTGGTGGGAGGTGCTGAGTGGTTGCCTTTGCAACTCTTGCAGGATTTTGTTCCTTTTCTTTTTTTTTTTTTTTTTTTTTGTCTCTACCTCTCCTTACCCGTTATTAAACTGTCCTTTTCTTGATACCAACAAATTTTACTTGCTTTTGCCCTTCTGATTCTCTTCCTCATCCTGCTGGGGAGGGCAGGGAATGAGTGACAAGGTGGGGGCTTAGCTGATATCTAGGGTGGACCGACCACAGTAAGTTAAAAGTTTTCAGCTGTATACAACTTTTTACCATCCTGTATATTCAATTGTGAAATCGTCTTATTTGTATTAAGTTAATCTTTTTTGATCTTGTTCTTACAAGTCTACTAAACTAATGCCTAATTGAAATGTCAGATTTAATTCTTCCTTTTTTTTTTACGATCTTTTTATTCATTGTTTCAAATGATTTGTAGCTGAATTTTGAACATTCTTTCCCCTCCTCCCCCTGCCCCCCCCCCCTTTTTTTTTGTTGTTCATCTGCACAATATTTTGTGCCAGTCATTTACTGAAAGAACATGTTATTATGAATTAGCCCATCAATTTATGTAAGACCTGGTGAGATTTTATTTGGAACAGTTCATTGAAGTCTAGGATGGTAACTAAAAAATATGACAGACTTATGGGGGAGACTGTCACCAGGGTGTCTTTATTGAAATTACTATTTATGGTATAAGTCAAATGTGGAAAACCTGATTTTGTATTGCATGTAACATCGTATTGTATACATTTATAGAAAGGGTTATTCTTGTTCAGTCAGCATTAAAAATGCTGCTTTGCAGCTAAATTTATGCTTTAGTCAAAAGTGGTAGCATTTTATGTGATCAGAAGGGTAATTTTTATGTGTACTTATTCACACAAATTTGATGAAAATATGCAACATACAATTTTTAAATTTTTGAAGCAGTGATTTGCTTGTCTTAAACTTCACTAGAAAATGTTTTTAATTACCCCATATTAATCAATTTTTGACTGTAGCTAATGGAAAAAGACTTGTTTTCATTTGCTGTATCATTCAGGATTTTAGGGTTGATATATATTCTGCCCTGTTTTTCGTTTTTTTAGTGGTTAGCTGCAGCTGTTAAGAAAATGCTGTTCTTGCATTTGTAGATTAAATTACTGCTGTCAAGACTAAGATGATACTGTAATAGATGCTGATTCTAAGAATCCAGATTTTATTTTTCAGTAGCTTAATAGTTTGTATATTTACTTAAGTGTAGATTAAGTCACTGTGTTTTTTTAAAAAAATATACAAATATTTTATGTAGAGGTTTTAAATGTAGCTGTCTTTAAAGGAAATATGAATGTAAGTATATATAAATGAAAATACTTATCTTCTTCCCAGTCTTTACCAACTCAAGCTTGTTTTCTAATGTTGAACTAGACTGTTGAAATGAAGAAAATAGGTATATCTAAACATAACAATTACAAATGAGCAAATAGTATGTTTACAGCTATTTTGTTTTTTTGATGTATATATAAAATATTGTAAAATTGTTTTGTGCATTTATGTAAATGTAACTAATCATATTGGATAAGTGGATTTATTAATTTAACAGAAAACCTTCCTTTCATCCATTCTGATGTTTTGAAGGTGCAAAAACCTTAAATTAAGGTGCAGAAAAAATGTAGCAGTACTAGGTATCACATAGACTAAGTACAATTTTTCTTTATCTGGAGTTAGCATGGTCAATGGTAGTGGGCACTTGTGCTCTTCTGCAGAACCAATCCTGCCTGTCTCTAGCACAGATAAATGTCTCATTCCTGAAACAGCTTTCTCAAGCTAAACCTCAAGCAGTTGTTCTTGCAGTATAGTTCATTGGAGGAAAAAAAATTACACTTTTTTCTTAATTTTGTCAGTTCAGGTAGAAGCTGAACCAGAGGTGCATTTGGCTTTATGGGACACTGTTTCCTCAGCTTTGTTCTTCTGAAATGCTTTTCGTATTCCTGAAGGTGTTGGAGGTACTTCTGGGTAGGAAAACCCAAGAGTGACAGAAAGTTCTTTTCTCTGTTGTGCTTTCTGGGTATATACTTGTGGAGTCCAGTGGTCAACACAGCAGGGTACAGTTTTCTTCCCTTCTCTCCTGAGAGCTTCTTTCTTATAAATTAAATGTATGACAGATGGAGTTTCTTTTAGACCGTTAATCTAAGTTTGTGAGAGGCTCAGAATGGAATGATACAATTTTGGAGGCAGAGAAAGAGGCGGATGTTTACAGGCTTTTTAGTGAAAACAGACCTTTTTAAAATCAAAACAAAAGCTGGCTTTTATATGATGCAATGGTATAGGTGTTGACTTGTTTATATATATATGTGCATACATTTACAGAACTCTTTTTTTCTTCTAGGATCCTTCTGTTACACAAGTGACAAGAAATGTTCCTCCAGGGCTAGATGAGTACAATCCTTTCTCTGATTCAAGAACAGTAAGCACTTTTATTTCTTAATTATGCTGTTAATCTTTTTAGGTAAGATTTGTGAGTTATCGTTTACAGTTTGGGACTGATGTTGTAAAACATGTGATGGGATTGCTAGAGTTAGTGAAAGATGTGTAAGAATTGATAGTCCCATAAAGTATTTGGAGGGTTGAGTGGGTAGATTTACTCAAGTGAGCTGTGACCTATTAAGGAAAAGTGGCTCTCTGAAAGGAGGCCAAAACAGAATTGAGTTTTTCCCCTGTTCAGTAAGACTTCTGGTAGTCTATCCTTACGCTTTTCTGAATTTTACTTGCTTTAAAGCATGTGAGTGTGGCACACTTCCCAGTGTCATACTTTTGATTTCCATTTCACTTAATGAAAGTGCTGCTCGGAATAAGAAAAAATACTGCATTTAAGTAACAGTCCTCAGGTTATGAGTAGTTGTGCTACATTAAAAGCAATAATTTATGTCCAAGAAATGCAGTTGGTTTTTCGCCTCTAGTTTTAATTTACTTTGTGCTTATTTTCACCCGTGGGGAGGGGGGGAGGGGTGGGAAATACAACAAATGGGGTAGTAAATTCATACTGTGACAACATTTTCCAGTGGTTACCTTTGACAGTGAAGATCTTGTGCAAGATTAGCAAAATGCATGGGTGATTACTGTTTGTCAGTATAATTTATAAACATTGAAATACTGTGTTTTTCAAATGTAGTCTTGTTTCCTGTGGTAAATCTGGTAGTGGTGATAGAGAATGTTGATATTTGAGTCTTTGTAATGCAACAGTAACGTTTCATACAGTGTTAAAATGATAGACTGGAAGAAGCTTGTTTTTGAGTATGCCTAGGGACAGCTGATTAAGGCAGAATATTTACAGCTAGCAATAATATCAAATAAGTCTCCAAAATGTTTTTCTCCTAACTCACAATATCATGAATTGTGTTTAATTTATCATCCTGAAGCCTGAAGAGTTTCAAAATTGCTTTGTACTGACCATGAGTTACACAGACAGTAGGTCTTGTTAAAAAAAAAAATAATCTAAAGCTACTCTGACCTTTTCTATTACTTATGTACATATTATTTTAATATGCAGCTCTGTGGGAAAAGGAAGACAAGTATATGGCTAGGGTTGTCTGGCTTTGAACAGTCAGCTGTATATGTATCAAAAGTTCTAATTCCTCATTACAGATGTCACTCATATAGAAAAAGTGGGAGGATAGAGGAAATCTTTAAGTCAGTGTTCAGATCTACTGAATATGTGCTCTATTCATGCACTGTGATTCAATTAATTATGAATTTAGTAACATCCTGTAGATAAAAAGTGTCACTTTAATGAGCAGCTCTCTTTCTGTAGGGAACTTTCACAGTTTTTTTTTCAGAAAGCAAGACTGAAACAAATATTTAGCCAAGAGTGCAGTAATAATCAACCTTTAGATGGTGCTTCCCTTCCTCTCTCTGTAACTTCTGGATGCTGAATATATAAGTATTTACTCTGTAATTACATGCATTTGCTTAGGTACCTGAGGATGTGCTCACAATTCCATGTGCTCACCTCTCTTTTCCTACCAGCTTTGTATGCAAGAGAAGGACATTCTGCACATGTACAAATAAATGTATGCAACAGGAGTAAGGGAAGAGACAGTGAAAGTAAATGCCTTTAAAGATTGGATGAACAGAAATTGAAGTAGAGTCTGTGAATTTTAGACTTTGAAGATTACAGCATCCTCAGGGTAGGGATAGAAATTACTCTGAATTTTGCGTGCTGCTCAGAGCAAGAACATCCAGATAGTTTCTTGGGGCTTTGGTTTGCTACTGTTCCTTGTTCTGCTTTTGTTTGGAAGCTGAGTCATCTTGAACAGTTCAGTGCAGGTAATCTCACTTCTAACATTTGAAAACCATAATGATGCTAGTGACCGGAAAGTATACAAGCTGGTAGTAGCAAAATATGTCCTGGAGATTTCTGTGCTCTTTAATTTGAGAATCACTGGTCTGTAAAATTTATATTTGTTTCACTATGAGTAACAATGTGTAGTTGTAGTTTTTAAGGAAGCTGAGAACAATATGATTCAATTAGAAATCCAAATTTCTAATAGTAGTGGTAAGATTGTATCTTGGAGTCTATAATATTAGCACAGCATTAACCTCCTTTGCCACTTTCTTCCAAATTCAAGTTAAAAAATCATGCTGAACTGCAAAAATAGTTCTCCATTGCAAATCCAGACAGGATTGTTTCTTCTGTGAGAAAGTGACTTCAAACTCTGAATACTGACATTCATTATCTTATCTCAGTTGTGTTCTCCCTTTGCCAAGTATTTCATTCCATTTTCCTTTTCTCAGTCAACTTATATCTGTCACATCTGCAGTGGGAAATTTGGTAGGAAACTAACATTCAAGACATAATGAGGAGAGTGAATGGGCATAGGAGATTTTAAGTCTCAAGTGTCACCACCTTGATACCTAACATAAGAAATCAGGAGGGTTGATTTTGTGTTTTTGTTTTTTAATTTTTTTTTTTTTTACCTCTTATCAAATTTCAAAGCCTGTCTTATTTTTGATTGTTAAACCAGAGTTTTCAGAGAATGATATAAATGTCAGATTAAATATCGTTGCTTGCATCTTCAGTGGTTTTGTCTCTAGCATTAACAGTCACCATGGAGATGACTTTATGTCTTTTGCCATGTTTCTGAAATCACCAAGGAACAGATGAGACTAGACAATTAGTATTTCTGGTTCATGATTTAAAGAAGCAACTGTTAAAGAAGGTCTTTAATCTCTTCCTTCTACAAGGTTTGCTAATACATGTTGAACTCCTCTGAGAGCTCTGTGTATATATGTGTAACGTGTATAGACACAATAATGCATATAGCATTCACTTTCAAATTGCTGCATTAAAAATTTGGAAAAAAATATTCGTAGATTTGGTTTTGGTTTGTGTTTTTTTTTTTTGTTTTGTTGTTTTGTGTTTTTTGGTGTTTTTTTGTTGTTTTTTTTTGTTGTTGTTGTTCTTTGTTTTTAAGAGACCTATTTCAGTGGATTTTCTTTCAGTAAGTTGCTGGGTGGCTTGGTCCCTTCTGTTTTGCAACCAAACACAGTGAAGTGTTTATAGGAAACCGGATAGATCATCCACACCTGGCTTCTTTTGGAAGTCTTCCCTCCGCCCCCAGTAAATAAACCACTCACATGCAGTAATCTATTCAAGAGAGAACTTCTTTTGAGCATTTATCTCCAGCCAACCTCTTCTCTTCGAGGGAGGTCCTAATAATTTGCTTCTTCCCCCAGTGCAGCTGTGAGAACAAGGTATGAAATAAAAAAATCTTTCCCAGAAGTACCATTCGGAGCAGGAACAAAAAAGGGTGTTGTAGAATGGTGTCAGTTGAATGTCAGGATAGAAGTACTTTACCATAATGTGTCAGTGGAGGTCAAAGACCATAGATCTGTGAAGCAAAGTCTCTGTAGAAACAGCTGACTTAGTTCCCCTGTCTGAATGTGGGTGGTATATCATGATGTGATAAGATCCTATCCAGTGGTGGCTGGAGGTTAGTGCAGTCCTCACAATACAGGTCTGAGTAATTAGAGTTACATCCTTGAAAAGACAGAATTGCCGACCACCTGTCTTGATGTGAATGTGTCAACAGCCCTACACAGGCTATAAGTCAGTTGGGTGTCTCTTTTCCATACCCAAATGCCTAAGCTACCAATAGCACTTAGACAGTCAACCAACAGCACATGGACAGACAGGTATGACAAAATAAGTGCCAAGTCATAGGTTGCAAGGGACCTCTGGCGGTCATCTTTTTCAATCTCCCTATTTAAATTTGGTCACTAAGTTGCATTGCTCAACATCTTGTCCTGAAGAGCTTTGAACATATACAAGGGTGGAAATCCTGCAACCTCACTGGGCAACCTGTTGCAGTGTTTGGCAGTTCTTACAGTGATTATTTTTTTTTCCCCATAATATCTTAATTAGTTTTCTGTGTTCTGAGAAGTAACATGATGTGTAATATAAGCGGCATGATATTTTTCCAGCATCCCCATGTGTATGTGGATCCACAAGGGAGTCAAAATATATGTTTCATTTCTTGTGTTTAGTAAATGGTGCATTAATTACAGCAGAATTTTACAGCTTTATCCTGGCATGTGGTTAAACCAAACTTTGGTCCAGTAAGTGTGAAGTTATGAAATGAAAGAATTTCTACGGGATTACTGTGATGTTCTGCTCAAATAAGAAACATGGATCAAGTCATGTTTGCAAATTCCCATTATGCCTGACATGAGGCTAAGTCTTCCATGTTCTAGAAGGATGGATTAGACTGTTAAATTTGAGAAGGGAAGGAAGAAGCTTGACATTTGCTGACCTGAAGCCACCTGAGAAGCTTATGCCTACTCATCTTCTTCTGAGACAAAAGAAGGCACAGTAGTTTTTGGGATGCTCTGGTATGAACTGCATGAGATGTTCATCAAGGTTAAAAGAGTTACCTGTAAAATGACAGATTCACCAGTTTCCTTCAAAGATGCCTCAGCAGTTTTTATTCCTAGAAATCTTATGTCAATCAAAATCATAATAACATAGACAAAAGTATACTAACAGATGAGAATTCCTGTTTTGCTTACTTAATAGTTATGGATCTCAGTGTCTTTATGAAATGTCCATTAAGTATCAAAACTGGTTCCTGCAGTTACCTAGTTTGATATCTTCAGGATTTTGATAGTTATTGACCAAGTGTGTCTCACTTTCATCTTTTGTGCTGATAAAACATTTGAGGTGACCTTAGAAAGTGGATGTTTCCTTTTGGTTCTAAATAGCAAATCAGTTGCTCCTATAACTGACTCTAATCTGACTGCTTGGTAACAGTATTTCCTCAATAAGACTTACACTTATTATGTACAATTTTTGTCCGTATTAAATGCATGTACCTTGCCAACCTTTTAAAAACATAAATCTGAGCTATTGCTTTCCAGAATGCCTCCAATTTTAGACTTCATGCACCTTGTACAGTATCACTTAGGCCA